GAAAAAAGAAAGTTAAACGGAACAGTCTAAAAGTGAAAAGGAAACAAAGTTTAAAAGGTAAATTGAGTTCTTAAATATCAAAACAGAAAGACTGTTTGAAAGTTGGCTTTATTGAAAAGTTAGAAAAGAAAAGAGAAAAAATCATGTTTTAAAAAAAGCATTTGTCTTTATTATAAAAATGTCTGGAAATTATAGAGTAAAAGATGTGAAAAATGTTCGATTTAAAGTCAAAAAGTGTGTCAACAAAGTTAGTACAAGAAAAAAAGTAGATTAAAAGGTGTTTTAAGTATAAAAGTGTAGTAAACAAAATATAATTAAATTTTCTGTACATCAGAAAAATGGCGAGTATACACTATATTAAAAGGTGTAAGGACCAGGTTCCGAAATATTTTAGACTTAGAAATACACAAAGGGTGATGGTCTGTTGGACACAGAAATCGATGAGGAATTTGATTTAGACAGAATGCTTAACGAAGTGTCGAAATGTTTTGAGAAGGTAAAGAATATAAAGAAAAGGTTGACAGACAAAGTGAAAAAATTAGTGGAATCGATTGACAAACAAGAAAGCGAGATGATTGAGGAAATTATTGACGAAGATCTCACCTTGTGTGAAAAAGCCTTCGACATGTGTCAAAATTTACAAGTGTTCACTAAAACGTTGATGCAAAAAGTAAAGAAAAATAGAATTTAAAGTGATCAAAAGGATTACACCATGATTTAGTGGAGGTTCAAAAGAACATTCAACAGTTACTTGAAGCTCAAAATGAGACAACAAGAAAAAGAAAAACGAAAAGAAAACGAGAAAATGTCATCAATTAAACTTCCAAAGATAGATATGATCAGTTTTAATGGTGACAAACAAGATGGACAGAATTTTGGGACAGCTTCCGAAATGCCTGTACATAACAACAAATACATATCAAATGTTGAAAGTTTAACTATCTGAAGGGAAAACTAGTTGGCAAAGCAAAATCTGCGATACAGGGTTGGCATTAACTAGTGACAATTACATAATGGCGGTGGATATCTTGAGAAAGAGATTTCGGTAATACACAGGAAATTATTGACTTGCATTACAGTCAGCTTATTAACATTCCAATCGCCTACAAGTAAAGTCAATAGTTTACGATGTTTGCTTTGATGGTGTTGATCAACATATAAGGAGTTTGGAAGTTTTAGAAGAAATGTAAACCAGGACATAGTAGTATCTATAGTAAATCAAAGTTGCCTGAAGATGTGCTAGTACATTTGGAAATACAAAATGGAACTGACAAAAGATGGACAAATTGTATGCTTAATTGTAGCACGTGAAAGAGCCCTAAACAGGAGCTTCTAAACAAAGAGACAATACATCTTTCAAAAACATTCAACGCAAGGTCTTTCACACATAACAAAAGCAGAAAGTACATATTACAAAGGACCGTACAGAAAACATCAAACGCAGGCGCTAGTTTCTACTTCTAGACAACAACGGAAGCCAGTCAGCACCGTCGTGCATCCAATTTAAACGGTGCCGAAATTTTAATAAAACCTGGAAACGATGAGTGTACTCATACAAGACAATAAGTTTAAAGAAAAAGATCGCAAAAAAAGGGGGAGTTGTTTCAGGTTTTCCTTTAAAAGGAAAAGGGCAATTTTTTCTTTAGATTTTAAATCAAAAAAGAAAATGGGGGTGTACTGGGGCAAAAAGAAAAGCCCACCATTTTGCAGCTTGTGTCCAAAGAAAATTCACCGTCCAAAAGGACAATTTCAAAATATGTCAACAATGTTATATTTGAATTAAAACAGCCAAAAAATCAAAATAAAAATTTTACAAACTCAAATTTTAAAGTAAGAAAAAGATAAAAGGAAATGTAATGGAAAAGGGAAAAGGGGTTTTTATGCAAATGCACTAACCAAAAAAAAAAAAACCCCCAAATGGGGAAAAAAACTGATCAGAAGTACGGGGTTTTTAAATTTATTCTGGGTCGCATCGGGAAACTATAATTTTTTAAAAAAATTTAAAATCAAAGGGTTATGCCTTTAAAAGGGGAAGGGTTTTAACAAGGAAAAACCATGTTTTGTGAAAATTTTCGGGAATAACAAAAAGGGAAAAACAATTAAAACAAAATACGTAAAGGTTGATGTGAGGGGGTAAATAATGGTAAATATTGGCCCAAATTCCTGCCCTTAGGGTTTTTTAATTTTGTGGTTTAATTACAGAAAGGGAAAAAAATCAGATTCTTTTTTTTCAGATAAAAAGTGAATGGGTATTTTAAACACTTTTACAATTGGGGGACACCATGCCAAAAAAGTGAAACTTCGTCAATTGAGTTCTTTTTGGAAAGACTACTACCCAAAAATTTGTAAATGGTGAAAAAATTAGAAAATTTAAAAATGGACTTTTTTTTTGCTTTCCCTCTAAATTTTGGGTGGAAAATAAGTGGTAGATAAAGGGACACATAACGATGATTCAAATGGCACAATAATTTGCTCATTCCAACATATGGCAGTAAACAGAACAGTACAAATGCATTCACCTACTAATAGATTATGTAAACTCATCACCCAAAGACAAACTAGAAGGACTTTTGAACGTTGAAAAGTATTGGAATTGTAGATAAAAAGAGTCACAAAAGAAGACGATTAGTCAGGGAAAGACTTTACTAGAACGCTTTTAAGTATGAAAACGGCAGAATACCAAGTAAAGTGGCCCCCGTGGAAAAATGAGTGTCCCGATTTACCGACAAATAGAGATTTAAGCATTAGGTAGATTAAATCAACAGTCAATCGTATGAAAAACATCCAGACATATTACAAAAGTCAATCATAATGTGATTCAAGATCACTCCAGAAAGGTATAATTAGAGAAGTCAAACCAAATAAACCAAACGTACTGTGCATTACCTAGCTCACCATGGAGTCATTACACCACAAAAACAACAACCAAACTTCGGGTAGTATACGATGCATCGGCAAAGACTTCAAAAGAAAATAACAGTCTGAACGACTGCTTGTATCGCGGTCCTGTTATGGTTCATGACTTATGTGGAATATTGTTGAGATTTCGAAAACATCCGATCGCAATTGTAGCCGACATCGAGAGGGCGTTCCTTCAAATAGAACTTTCAAGGAGATCAACGTGATGTTACAAGGTTCTTATGTTAAAAGATGTTGACAATCCAATGACTAACGCATGTAACATACAAGAGTTTCGCTTTTGTCGGGTACCGTTTGAGTAGTGTCAAGTCCTTTTCTTCTTTGGTGCCACAATTGAACATCATTCTTGACACTTTTCATAATGAAATATCAAACAAAAATAAAAAACGATATCTACGTGGATAATATGATAACAGGTGCAAAAGACATAACAGAAGCGAAGATTTCTTTATAAAGATGCAAAAAAACTATATTCAATGCTGGATCTATGAATCTAAGAGAATGGGCTTCAAAATAATGAAGAGGTCAATTCACTCTTTTCTCCTGAAGACCATGCAGAAGTGAAATCAATGAAAGTGCTAGGGCTTGAATGGAACTCGGAAAGTGATACTCTTTCATATCGTTCTGCAAAAATTGCTATGCCATAGTCTTCATGCTACCAAAAGGGAAATTCTAAAAATACATTGCATCCATTTTCGATCCACTAGGCTTGATTAGTCCTGTTATCCTTGATGCTAAATATTTTCTACAAGAACTGTGGAATAAACACCTAGAGTGGGATGATGCTCTCAGTGATGATGATCAAAAGAAATGGATCTCATTAGAGAAACAACTGATGAATGTGGAAATGGGTCTGTAATATCCAAGATCTATATCTGCAAAACTGTTTCAAAACTAGTTGGGAATATCGCATTGTATGGGTTTCTGCGATGCACATCACAAAAAGCCGTACGCTTGTTGCATGTATACTTACATCAACGGTCAGAAGATAACAACAAAAGTAGATCTCATCTTTTCAACAAAACACGTTTAGGCACCTTTGAAAAAGCTCTCAATTACAAGACTAGAACTCTTAAGCTCTTGTTATAGGTTTAAACGATGTTTACAGTTTTTGTTAAGAGTCATCTTCATTTACCAATACTTGATTCATCCATATGGACTGATTCGCAATGTGTTTCTACATTTGGTTACAAATACAAAAAAAGCAATTATCAGTATTCGTTAAAACCGTGTTAATGAAATAAGAAGATTATAAAAAAAATGTTACAATATCCTATTGTTCCATCTAAAGACAATCAGCAGATATTGCATCTCGTGGACACTTTGCCAAAATCTTAATGAAATAACAACTTTGGTGGGAAGGCCCAGCTTGGCTTTAAAAATGAGGCCAAGGTGAATGGCCCAATTTAAAAGTTCTCCGGTCATAATAGCAAAGAAGATAACAGTTATGAATCTGAGATACGTAAATTAAAGAAACCTAGTGGAGATTAGTTTGGTACAACCATCGCGTGGCACAAATACAATTGAAAACACTAAGTTCAGAATGAAAATACTGGTCCATTAACAATAAACAGGGCCCAACGGTTCTCTTCACGTTTACAAAACTTTTCTTAGAGTACTTGCTCTTGTGCTAAGATTTGTGAGAAAACTACAAAAGAAAAATACAACAAGGTTAATCACATGTGACGAAAAATTAAAGAGTCTGAAAAACATGTGGATAAGACACATTCAAAGAAAGATTATATTAAAGACGTATTTGACGCCATTTCTTGTGGTAAGCAAAACAATATTCAACAACAGCTTGGAATTTACATTGATACATACGGAATCCTACGCTGTAAGGGGCGACTTGAAAATGCTGACATAAGTGAAAGTGCACGTTGTCCGATACTTCTTCCAAAATATGACTGGTATACACGTCTTATTGTAGCTAAAACACATACAGAAATTTCATAGTGGTGTTTCACAAACGTTGTCTGTAGTGCGAAATCGCTTTTTGGATTCCGCATGGTCGTGCTATTGTTAAATCAGTGTTAAAATCATGTATGATCTGTCGCCGATTTGAAGGTGGCCCGTACAAGATGCCACCGTTTTGCTCATATCCAAAATCCCGTGTAACCGAAGGTATTCCATTTTCTAGAATTGGAATAGATTACATGGGTCCTTTATATTCAAAAACAAATAAAGACAGTGAAAAGAAAGTTTGGATTTGCCTGTTCACATGCCTTATGACGAGAGCAATTCACCTAGAAATTGTATGTGACATGACAACAGCTGAATTTCTCATGTGTTTCAGAAGATTTGTAGCACAAAGAGGTTCTCCTACCCTTATTATCAGTGACAATGCCTTACAATTTCGTACGGCAGATAAAATTCTTGATCATCTTTGGAATAAAATTCCTAAAAATGCTGAAATAATGAGTTATGTTTCAAATGCTGGTATAAAATGGATGTTTAACGTAGAGTTGTCTCCCTGGATGGGAGGCTTTTACGAAAGGCTAGTTGCTTTAGTAAAAAGGTCATTAAAGAAAGCCATTGGTAGAAAAATGTTATCAATAGTGCAGTTACAAACTCTTATTAAAGAGATAGAAGCAGTTATAAATTCAAGACCTTTAGTTTATGTTGGAGATGACCTGCATTCTAATATCCCTATCACTCCTGCTCATTTTCTGTCAAATAATCCGAAAATTGGGATTCCTGAGTTTGAAATCGACAGTGATGACGATTATATTCCAATTGAAAGCACAAAAGATAATTTACTTAAACTATGGAAAAAAGGGCAAAGGTTATTGGATATATTTTGTAAAACTTGATAATTGATTGCTGATCATCCATGCGCGAATTCTGTGCAACGGTACCAAACATTGATTGGGGATTTAATAATTGCCAATGCAAATTCACGAAAATCACGTGCAACGGTGTCCAAACATTATAAAAATCTCTTTACATTCCATATTTACTTCATTAGATTTTGGATGCTTACTGCGAAATAATCCAAATCAAGATGTATTATTGTAAATTTAAATTCTGTAGACGCTTTTATAGCAATTATAAATCATTACAACGACATGTCAAAGAAATTCATTCTCCGGAAAACAAATTTTACACATGCATTATAACTGGATGCAAAGTCAAACTAAAAAGGAGACACTACCTAATAAAACATTTAGAAAAGGTTCATCAAATGACAAAAAATGATGCAAAGAAATTGACATACAAAATCAACACAGAAATCACAGAAAATAACATCACAACTGAAACAAAACAAGTAAGATCACCCTATCTTCCAATGACAGAAAACATATTAGATGTTGAAGAAAATACAACCACTGCCGAAATATTTGAAAATGCAATGAAAGTAATCAACACAAATGAAGATATGGATTTCAACAATAATGAAATTTTTTATGCAAGAAAGATAAGTGCTGAAGAATTAGAGTTAGATATTCAGGAAAAATATCATTATGACGATTGTGATTACACATTCCTTTCGTACAAAGTCAAAGATACCATGAATATATTAGATACTGATAAAGTGCAACCTGATAACAGCATTTCATTGGACAAAGTGTCAAGATTTCAGTTAGTACCGTCTGGATTGCAGGACTACTTTAATATTGCAACCGACAGTCATTCAGATGATGAAGTCACAATTGTACTTTATGAAACTTAAAAACACATCTGGAATTTATATAAACATATGTTCATTAATTTAGTTTATTTCTTTTTTGCGGCGGGAATGTCGCGAATAACGCGAGTCATTGTGATATGAGCGGTGCTATCTCGATTGTTCACTTAAAAATCATGGAACGGTACCGAGGACGGTACTTCTAGAACGTGTTATTATTATAGTCACATGACAAGTATTTCCCGCTCCTTTTCAGACGGTATATAAGCGATCACACATTAATGAACAGTGAGAACGAAACGAAAAGTGCTAGAGTAAACTGTTAAAGAAAAATTAAATCTATTTTATAAAAAGTGACAATAAAAGGAATTACATTTTACAAAGTATTTTTTCTTGGTTATGCATAAAGTGATATGATAGATAAAATTATGAAAACTGTATACGTTGTTGTTACATTTGTAGTATGAGATGACTTAAAAGTTAATACAGTCCTCAAAAACAAAATCTGTCTCTACTACAGGAATTCTGAATTTGAATTCCAAATCATATTTCAAATACATGAAATCACTTGCGATTCACTCACGAGTCTTGTCGCCTAGTTTCTCCTATTAACTGTACTTCACATTTGAGGCAATACCACTTTTACTATAAAAATAACAAAATATTTAAACTATATTCAGCTTTGATTTCTAAGCTAAATCATTCTTAAAGAATTCTACATTTGCAAAAAAACGTAAATAAAAGATCGTTAACATCTGTACTTTTGCACTGCTACCGTCACCTGATTTCATAAATCACGATTGTATTCAAACCAAAAATCAACTTATATTCTAACTCGTTATAAAAAAATGTTATGGCTCAGAAAAAAAGAAAGAAAGAAAAAAAAAAGAAAAATGATAAAATAAATTGGATGGTCATTTCCTGAAAAAAACTAACTGTGTATTTCAGCACTGAATGTTGTTTTCGATAGCATTCTCACTTGCTCATTGGTAGATGATGAAATTTTATCATTTCTTGCATAACGTTTATTTATTCTATCAGAAAAACAGCAACAACACGTTCCCTTTACAAAAAAAAGGAATCAACGGCCACTGCGTAAAGATGCGAATAAGGAAACTTACCAACGATTAGTTCTTTTATTCGTTATCCATATATTAATGACGCAAAACATGTTTGGTGTTTTCTTCAATGTTGATCGACATAATCGATTTTAATAAATACAACTCTCTTTTGAAGTTTTATTTATTATTAAATACGTTCTAATTTATCTGTTCTTTACATTTAATCGTCGTATAAGTCAGATACAGTTACTGGTGTTTTCTTGAAAAGTGTCTTCTAACAGGCAATTTGTTGTTTATCAAAGCAAACTGTCTTGTTATGAGAAGAGACTTTTGAAGAAAAAAAAAACAAGAATAAAGATCAACAAGGCAAAGGAAACGTTCACAGGACGCGGCCCCCGACACACTCAAAACTTGTTCTGCATCTATTACATGAATTCCTTATAGTGTTTAAAACATCAGATGATATTTCAGCGGTTAAAATATATATTGTCATTAAATTCATAAATTCATAAAAGGGCTTAACTGGGGAAAGAATGCGCATTTAGAATACGTTATTTGACTGATAGAGAAATTCAGACACTTTTGTTACCTCCATTTTTATTGAAAAACAAATACATTACATTACGCAGCCATATAATAGAACAACTTTTATATTTTTTCATAGAAATGATTTTCCTGTTTAAGTTTATAAGACAGTTATTACATTCGATTGTACAGGAAGCTATAATAGCATATAGACTCACTCGACAATCCGTTCCTGGAACAGAACAAATACTTAGCAATGAATTCAAAGTTTCTTGCTCTCCTCGGCCATGCCGACACCTTTCCTGATGAAAGAAGACCTCCCTTATTATACTGGTTGTAACTGGTTCTCTCCTAGTGGTTAAAAAATAAAGGTCGAAACATTTTAATCCAATTATTTACATTATAATAAGAGGCACGATTAACAAATATAAGCCATTTTCTAGTTGCAGACGTTTAACAACATATATTTACCTGGCTGTAGCATTAATTCAAGGAAGTCATTAAGAAAGTCTGTCAAGAAGTAATAATTTACCTGAATTGTTTACGGAATTCACGAAGTTAAATATGTGAATTTATGAAGATGAAATCGGGAATTCATAAAGTCGAAATGGCCCTTCCGGTCTTTCGTACGTTTAAAAGGGTGATTTGTGACGAACCTTTCTCAAATCACCCTTTTTAACGACATCACTACTTTTATGTTTGCATGTGTGTGGAAATGTAAAGATATGAATTTTAAGTCAACCATACACTGATTTGTTAGGGTGATTGTATATATACTATTTTATCAGTGTTTTACCGCAGTCAACCTCATGTGGCATATTGTATATCAGAATGCGACATAAAATATGAAGATGGTGTATTTTATAATATACATTATGTATTTTATCATATATCAATAATACAGGCTTATCAATTTGGGCATTGTATTCATTCATATTTTTCTAATTATTCCCGTTGGTATATTTTTATATTAAGATAATACATGATTTGAATTTGCTCTCTGTGTAACAAATCTCATGATTAGACTAAAGAACAGGACCCAATCATTTATGTCAATGTCGGTAGTGACATCTCTTCAATAACTGTCAACTTGAAACACTAGTTATTTAGATGCTTTATATGATTTTCTGAAATAATTGGCATTTTATTTACGAGGTATGATCCAAAAAGTTCTTGTCCCGATATACTTCTAGCCACTACACTGGCATTTTCACACGATACGTCGATACCGATATCTTATTGAAGATTACTGACCGAGTTTTACGCGGTTTTACACTGATAAAGTAACAAAAAACACACTTTGATCAGTAGAGGGGTGTGTCATTTAGACCAAATTGAGAAAGTTGAAATCGGAGCCATCATTAAGTACCTCTGTAAGAAAGCCAAAGACATCCATGAAGACGTCATGGATACACTTTGGAATGAGTCCACTACAGTACTGTAAAAAATGGGCTGCTGAATTTAAGAGGGGCAGGGAGAGCATTGGAAATGATGAGCGGCCTGGGTGGCCACGAACGATAAAACTGCCGAAGCTGTACACGATCTGGTCACGTTCGACAGAAGGCGAGACCTGCGAAGCATTGCCAGGGAAGTGGGTATAAGCTTTGGTTCAATTCAGGCAATTCTGACTGATGTCTATGGCATGTCAAAGGTTTCCGATAGATGGGTCGCAGGACAGTTGACTGACGACCAGAAACAGATCAGGCTTAACATTTTAAGATATCTTTTGTCTCGCTTCAAGGATGAATCTGGTTTTATCTACCGGATGAAACATGGGTCCATCACTTCGATTTAGAATTAAAAAAAAACAGAGCATGCAGTGGAAGCACCCTGGCTCACCCCTCCGAAGATATTCAAGAGGATGCCTTTAGCAGGGAAGATAATGGCTTCGATATTTTGAGATAGTCAGGGGATAATCATGATTGAATATCTTGAGCACGGTCGTACCATAAACGGTACGTGCTATGCAGACGAATTGAGACGTCTGCGTCAAGAAATCGCGTGTAAAAGGAGGTGCAAACTGACTCAAGGCGTTCTGCTCCTGCACGACAACGCCCCAGCTCACACATCCTAAGTTGCGATGGCTGCTGCTGCTGAAATTCTTCCCCATCCCCCATATTCTCTGGCCTTCAAAATCAAAATTAAAGCAGAATAATTATGCAAGATGGATAGCAGACCACAAGCTAAATTTAATGTTAAGTATTATACAAAGATGACAAACCACTATCTGCATAAGTTTGATGTCAAAATTATTTTATATTTATCATGATGTGACTTACACATACTGTTCCGCTACCAACAACAATCACAAAAGTAATCAAATCCAATGCAAAATGTAATCTGTATCATTCAGCAGAATCTGATAATGAGACATTGTCACATATGAAATAGTAAACGACAGTCGTAAACCCTCAAAACAATAAAGCAAACAACATTCACGTAATTAAATGTTTCAGAATATGGCACTTTGATTGATTGTAAAATGAGATTTCTGGAAAGGTTTCCCTGTTGGTGAATTACTACGTCTTTGGTTCAAAATTTAATGTTTGACTTTTTATCCCTCATGTACACTCAATCAAACCGAGTCTGCAATTCCCTT